GCCAGAGTTAGACTGAAAGGCATCCCTGAAACATCCACTGCCAGGTACAAGATGGATAATAAAAAACAAAACATGCGAAGCCCAACCATAACATGTGCGTAGTGATGTGTGAATTTTGTAGGGTGTGTCCACATGCGCGATCTCATTTGCTCCCCTGGCCCTCTTTGGAAGCAGATATGTTATTCCCACTCGACTGATGAGGAAACAGAGGCTCAGAGAGGTTAAGTGACTTGATCAACATCACTCTGCTGGGAATGTCAAGGCAGAGGTATGAACTCGCGCTGCTGTCCAGGGTTCTCTTCAACAGAGATCACAGGGAGGGTTTTGAATTTGAGAAAAACACAGGGCCTCCCTTGAAAGCCAGGAGAGCAAAAGAAGACCCAGTGTGGGTTTCTGCCAATGGATACCAAAAATGTCTGAGGAAGGAAGCAAGCAAACAAGACATGGGCCCTGGGTTCTGAGCTGCCAAGCCTGATGTAGTGATCCAAATGCAGCTGACGTTTCTAGGCCTGTAGGCCAGGTTTGGCGTCGCTGGGTAAGTCGCTTCAAAATAACCTAGGCGTCGGGCTTCCCTGGTGGCGCAGTAGTTGGGAGTCCGCCTGCCGATGCAGGGGACACGGGTTCGTGCCCTGGTCCGGGAAGATCCCACATGCTGCAGAGCGGCTGGGCCCGTGAGCCATGGCCGCTGAGCCTGCGCGTCTGGAGCCTGTGCTCTGCAGCGGGAGAGGCCACAACAGTGAGGGGCCCGCATACCGCAAAAAAATAAAATAAAATAAAAATAAAAATAACCTAGGCGTCGACCTCTCAGTTGGGACGTCGGCAGCCACAGTGGCAGCGTGTCGGGACATGGACCCTGTCTGGGCCACCAGCAAAGTCGGTGAGCTTCCAGCTCACCTCTGGGCAGGTGGCCCTGAGCTCCAGGAGGGGGGACAGCCCTGAGTCCGAAGCAGCCCTCTCACCGAGGGTCTTCCGCTGCATTTAAAAATGAGCCATTGGTGACTGTGTGTGTTGGGGCTTTAAAATATTTAGTGAGTTTTTGAACAGAAAAATGTTCCGAGCGGCTCTTCAAAGGCTTCCTGACATTGTTCAGTTCTCAAAAGTGAGCAGCCCCAGTGCTCAAGGCTACTTCTAGGTAAGAGATAACCATGAGTGGTAATATGGAAATGAACATTCTATTTCAAAAAGAAAGTTACGAAGGAGAGTGGAAAGTGCATCGTCTAGGGAGGGCCTTTGAGGGCTGGGAGATCTTTAAAACATCGGAAGCGGTCAGATCCTGGGAAAACGGCACCTGCAGTGAATCTTGCCATGGTGTGGAGAGAAGTGTGGGAGCGAGATGGGTTCAGGGGTGCGGGAAAAGAGCTTACCCTGGCTTGACGAGGGACCCTGGAATCCTATTGAAGGGATACACACAGAGCTTTTCTCCCCCTGATGGTGAATTCCGGACAGTTAACTTCCTCCCGGTTGCTCCAAGTTAGAGTTTTCGCAGTGTCTTTTGCTCTTTGTTTTTTTTTTTTTTCTTTGTTTTTTTTTTTGAACAAAAAGTGGAAACATCTGAACTCTTTAGAACATGCAGCTACATGCTACTCAGCAGCTGCCGTTTGAGTTAAAAATATATATTTAATTGGCCATTTCTTTCCTGGCCTGCCTAAGAGTTTTGCATTGTCTTCTGATACCCACATTCCTCACGGGCAGTAGAACTTTCTAGAAAATGTGTAGCCATCAGAAGAAGAAACAGGAAGTGCTCTGGAGAGACCCAAGGAAATGAAGATGATGAAAAAAGAGATTGGGGGAAGGGAGGTGGCCCGTCGTCTTAAAAACATGAGGAACCAGAGCAGCTGTGTGCAGTAGCTTGGTTAATGAGAGTGGCTGGAGCGGAGGGGAAGGGTACAGAGTGTGCTTTTTTTTTTTTTTTTTTCTGTACGCGGGCCTCAAACTGTTGTGGCCTCTCCTCTGTTGCGGAGCACAGGCTCCGGATGCGCAGGCTCAGCGGCCATGGCTCACGGGCCCAGCTGCTCCGCGGCATGTGGGATCTTCCCGGACCGGGGCACGAACCCGTGTCCCCTGCATCGGCAGGAAGACCCTCAACCACTGTGCCACCAGGGAAGCCCCAGAGTGTGCTTTAATTGGAAGATCTATGACCTTGTGGGAGGTGGTGCTTCATTTGTGTTATTGGCTCCTGTGTCAGAAAGGGACTTTTCCTTTATCGTCTTATTTATTACTTATTTATTCTGCCTAGCTCCAGAAAAGGATTTGCAGAGGACTCTAAATATCACGGCTTCTGGCCAGCTTTCCCATGAGGCTGTCTGAGGTGAAGAGTTCTGTTCCCCACACGCGTTAACTAATAAGCCAGGACAGGAGATGAAGCTGGCGCTCTCTGCAATAGCGGGGTGGCACACAGGAGGGGATGGGGTGTCCGTGTGGCCTGACCGCTCCCGCAGCAAGGACCATGGCCGCCCAGGGCCTTGGGAAGGAAAGGCCCTGTTTCCAGGTGGGGAAATTCTCCCCAGGGGCTCCAGCATGGGGAACTGAATTACACAGACATACTGGGAGGAGGAAGTTAGCCAGATACCCTGGAGAAAGAAAATTGCCTCAGAAGTTCTCCTGGAGCTGTGTTTAAAAGTGAGGTGAACCTGACCTTCGGAATTCTTTTTTCCTTTTTGTCCTCCCTGCCCCCCACACCCCTCTTGGTCTCCTCACTACCAAACACAGAGACACATGTCCTATTGCACACGAGCGTGCAGTGATGCCCGTAGACCACCAGACCTGGAAGGCAGGTCTTGGTTTCCAATGGTGGGTGATCTGGCCCAGTTGCTTCTGTGTCTGGGAGAATCTTCACCCTGCCCCCCTGCCCCCTGGACAGACTGCACACACTGCATGGCTCAGGGAGGTCCAGGCCCCTTGGACCTTGGACCTTGGGAGAGGTCAAGTTTAACCTGTATGGAACTTGGGACGTTTAGTCCCAGAGCCACTTGGATTTTACTGCTAAGGGTGAAGCCCCCGAGAAACATAATTTGTGGCTGGAAAACCAAAACAATACATCTCTGTACGGGATTTCAGAAGTCCTTAATCTTCCAGGGAGTGGCTGAGATGGGGATTGTCTGCTCCAGCCCGCCCCGTGTACTCCCCCTTCCCCTTCCTGATACAGGGTGTGGAAATTAACATGCACATTTGGCTCCACCAGGGAGCTTGCCGCTACCGTGCTTTATCAGCGTTAAAATCTTCCAGGTACAAGAAAGTTTGAAAAAACAAAAAGGGGTATTTCAAGATCTCAGCTGTGATGTCGTGTTCCCTTTTCCTTTCCCGGCCAGTGAGCAAATCTGATGTTGGGAGGCAGGACCCGCCCACACCTGTCCTGTTCACGTGAAGCATGAGGAGAAGAGGTTCGGGCTGGAGAAGGAGCCAGTTTCACCCGCAGGTTGAGGACGTTGGCCACAAAAGAGGTTCTGGTTGGAAGGTCCAGACTCCATTTTGTGATGACCCTAATGATGGACAAAGACAGGGACGTTTTGGCTCCATGCCTCCAGCGTCCACTAAGACTGGCTCCCGATGTCACCAGAACCAGTTTGTAACAAATCCACACTTGCCACCATTAATCCTGACCGTCCTGTCAGATGTGACATTCTTTCACTCAGTGTTTCTGGCAAAGGACCTCACCCCTCCCCCTCCCCAGGGGTCTCTGGAGGCCAGATTCCACACTGTGGTTAGGGGTGTGTGTGTGTGTGTGTGTGTGTGTGTGTGTGTGTGGCCAGGAGGGCAATGGTGGGGGGCAGCTGTCACCCAGTAGTGATGTTCATGACATGCTGAATCCTTCTGTTCCTACGCATCCGTGTTTAAATCTGAAAGTGCTTTCTGCACGGACCCTGGTGTGTGAAACCCTGGGATTTCCTGTAGTTAAAATCCCAAGTGATGCAGAGGTATCAGCTGTTTCTCTTAAAATGTTTGCAAGGCGGGGCTTCCCTGGTGGCCCAGTGGTTGAGAGTCCGCCTGCCGATGCAGGGGACGCGGGTTCGTGCCCTGGTCCGGGAGGA